GTTTTTGAAGAGCTGGGAGAGCGTGACTGTTATGTTACAAGGGAAGTTGACCGCGTTTGGAAGATTATTGAAAATGATATAGAAAATTGGCTTGTTCAAAATGCTGGAAGAGTAAGGGCCACGTTACGCCTTTTGATTGGGACACCTGGTATAGGGAAGTCGATGGGAGCTGGTTCGTACCTCCTCTACCAACTGCTGCACTATAACAAGGAACGACTTCTTTTTGTTGCATACGTCATTAAAGATTTCGTGTATATCTTTGACAAGACCGGAGGTGAGGGACAAGGACGCGTGGAGTACTAGGATAACCTCGAGGAGGGAATGGGTGCTGTATTACGTCTCTCTCATACTGTGAGGGGATACATAATCTACGATGTGGCAAAACAAGGAAGTGAACCTCACCACGCTTTACCTCCAAAAGGATGGGGCATGATTCTTTTGAGCTCTCCAAACGAGGACAACTTCAAAGGATGGGAGAAGCAAAGAAAAGCACTGCGTATCATAATGGATTGCCCCAGCATGAGTGAACTGAAGGCGATGAGTCTGTGGATACACCGCGATAAGCCAGAGGAGGAGCAGGAGAAAGAGTGGAAGGTTGTGGAAGAGCGTATAAGCAATGTGGGACCGATTCCCCGTCACATTTTTTGTAGTGAAATTAAATATAATGGTCGTCTGAAGGCGGTTGAAGCGGCGTTGACCCGTATCACACCATCCAATGCCGACCTATACTTTGGAGTGCACAAAGAGGGTTCTTGGCAAGGCCAAGATCCCTGCCACAAGCTTGTGAAAATCACTCGGTATTCCGCGCCAGGGGAAGCCGAGTATTACTGCAACGATCCGCTGGCACCTTCTATAAGGAAAACAATAAAGGATCGGGTTGGCGATGCCCTTGACACCTCTGCTGCTCTGATGTCAATGTTACTTCCATTTGATGAGATGGTGCCGAAAATCATGGAGAAATTTGCAGTTGGGGCATTTTTGCACGAGGAGTTCGTAAAAAGAGTACACAAAAAACTCAAAGAGATTGTTCCAAAAAGGAGACGGAGGAAGAAGTGTGTCTTGGAGGATAACTTTCAAGCCCACCCTGCTTCCCAAAAGGGAATACCAATGCTTGCATCTCTTCAGAGCGAAATGAGTAAAATTCGGATAGAGTGCAATGTGCTGTATAAACCAAGTGCAGAGAATTTCCCACTTGTGGATGGCTTTTTCTTCGTGGAATTGGGAAGTGACAAGATAATGGTTGGGCTGCAGGTGACTACGGCGAGTTGTCACGACACGAAAACGAGTACAGTGCTGCAGTTTAAGGAGTATTTGAGCAGAGCCTTTGTCGGCTGGGAGGCGTACTCGCGAAACATGTCGTGGGAGATCATTTATGTGCAGCACACAGACAGCCAGAGGATGACGAGATGGCAGAGATGCGACTTGCCTCCTGAAATAAAGAAAATAGACGAAAAGGTTGACCGTACCAAGGAGGAGGAAGAACTACTTGCTAACCACAAAGCAATTGAAGCATTCTGGAACGATGAAGTTCGTCAGTACGTGGTGCAGACGTCATCGAAGGACATGCGTGGAAGCAGAAGTGCATGACGTGAGATGATTTGTTGTTTTTGGGGCTTGGGGTTGTTCTTCTGGGAGCCTGTGAGAGTAGTTGTCGGCTCCTTGCGCTTGGTAAACTGTTACTTGTCTTTTCATGCTTGTCGTTGCATAGATCGTCACAATGTGTGCTTTTTAAAAGCCCACCCAACCCATTCCTCCGCTCCGCCTCGCCCAAGATAAGGGTCTAAAGATGCTTCCGGAGAATTTATTGTTGTCAGTATTAAAAATGAATGCACAGATTGGATTGCCCTTTGAACCATTGACTTGAACGTGGTGTGCGACGAGGAGAAAATGAGCAAAATATTCATTGTGTTTCTCTTTTCACTTTTTTTACGGCAAGTGGGCTCTAGACTGCGCACTCTGTATACGCCGTGCGGTGTTGATGCATGGGGTTCGTCACACTTTGTGTGGTTGGTGTGATTTTCACAGAGACCACAGCAAGAATTATTTTATATAACCATTTATAAACAGAAACAGATTTGCATACACGTGGCTTAGAGTCTGGACTCTTCGACCAGCGTTAGTTTGTATTGAA